GGAAATGAATATTTTTACATCGGAAACGCCTGGTCTTTGCCCTTGGGGGGCCTTCTCGGCGGCCTCTTGGACTGTGTTGAGGGCCCTTGTGGCCGTCTAGGAGCAGTCTTGGCCTGTCTTCGAGCGCTGGTGGGCCGTCTGGAGGCCATCTAAGTGCGCTCTTCAGCCATCTTCCAGACAACCTGAGGCGCTTTGGGAGCCTCTTGGGCCACCTTGGGGGCTGGGGGGGTCCGGGGCCCCTTCTGGGCCCTCTTGGATCCCTCAAGGCCCCCCCGGACCCCCATGCAAACCAGGGGTCGCGGTGCCGGGCCCTCCTCTGGCCTACTCCGATATATATATATATATATATATATATATATATATAAATATATGTATATATATATATATGTATATATGTATAAGTGTATGTATATATATATATATAGATATATGTATACAAATATGTGTGTATATATATGACATGCATGTATATATGTATTTCTGTATGACATATATATATACATATGTAGATATAGGATTCCATTTCGAATGTGTGGAGTTCGCAAGGGGCAGACGGCGCAGACCATGAAGTATCTGGCCCCTCCAGGACTGAAAGCCGAACGAACTCGACACGTTCCCCGAACATAGGCCCCCAGTGGCGGTACAGTAGGGGCCCAACCACAAGAAACCTTCCACAAGAAACCCAACCCTGAGACCCCAGGACGTCCATTGATTTTTGGTGTGGGAACGTCACGATTTCCACAGCAAAACCATCGAAACCCAAGAAACCCAGGGCACCCTGGAGGCAAGCAAGGTGTTTCTTGGCATGGGCCTCCACTATATTCGTGTGGCGCCGTCCCGCCGGTATACATGCGCACCAGTCCGTCGTTTGGCTTGCCCCCATCCTGCTTCCCACTTGACTCGCGGCACTCGCAGCTGCAAATGGTTGAGGCCTTCGCTATGACGTCTTTGTCGGCACTTCAGCACAGCGTGGCGAGGCCGAGGTGCACAGAGCATGTGCGCACCAGCCCAGCAGCCCATCGTATGTGCAGGACTCCAGGCACTGTCCGACGCCAACCGAGGGCGCTTGGGACTCAGCGTTGAACCCGACCCGCAGACGTGTGCGTCGATTTTGTTTTAGGTGCTACGGTCAGGAACTTTTGCTCAGCGTGTCGCGGCGGCGGCCCCGGCGACACGCTGTGCCCTGCAAGTGGATATCGTGTCGCTCCGCTCCGCGTGCCGCAGAGCTGGAAAACGCTCGGGACGTTGACGCCTGGGGACCAGGGCGTGGCTCGCGTCTCGCGCCGAAGCGTGGTGGGCCAGAACCAGCGGCGCGACACGCTAAGCAAACGTTCCCGACTGTAGGACGCTCATGATGAGTAAGATGGGGAAAGGATGATGATGATGAGGAGGAGGAGGAGGACGAGGAATAATGAGCGGACAGCGTGGATGCCGAAAGCGGCTGTCACGCGCATCATCTGCTCAAAAACCCTGGCGCAAGGCAGAACTACAAAGGCACCGGCCGCAAGAGGATGAGGAGGAGGAGGAATGGCGAGGCGGGGCGAAAATGCGGGCTATCCGCTGATCCCTACCTGCCATGGGGGAGAAGGCGTGTGAGATGATTGGCTGTGCCATTCCTTGTGTCACCAGAGGTCTGAGATCACATTTGCAGGGGGGTCGGGGATGTGGGCCCTGAGCTCCGCAGTGCGCTTCCTGGTCTCTCAGAGGCCCTGCCCCTTTTTCGTTAGGCCATGGAGACCCTCAAACTGCTCTGGATGGTCATCAAACCGCCCGAGGTAGCCCACGACAGACCCCCACGGCATCCACAGTGGCCCCCGCGTGGCCGGAGAGGCCCAGCGAGGCTCCGAGACGGGGTCGCGGAGGGCCTGCCAAAGACAGACGTCATCCACACTTGTTTCTTTATCCGAAGCCCTGCGACCCCCTCCCCCCTCGAAGCGGGACCCCCTCCTGGGCGGTTTCCCCCAGAGCCTTCGGCGACCCGAGGAGGAGGAGGAGGAGGACGAGGAGGAGGAGGAGGAGGAGGACGAGGAGGAGGAGGAGGAGGAGAAGGAGGATGAGGAGGAGGAAGAGGAGGAGGGGGAGGAGGGGGAGGGGGAGGAGACGGAGGGAGGAGGAGGAGGAGGAGGAGGAGGAGGAGGAGGAGGAGGAGGAGGAGGACCAGTATGAAACCAAGAGGCATCCACGATATTGGAATTAAACCTCACTCCAAGCTCCCTCTTCATAGGCCCCCACAACGGTTCGTTTCCATTGAGGGAACTGCCTCGTTGGAAGACAACCGTTTGAAAATCCTGAAGCATGCCGAAACATTGTTCTCGGGATTTCAACGCCGTGAATCAACATGACTGCTGCGTATTGACGATCCGGAATCGTGCCAGAACGCCATTTGGGGGACTTCAACACCGCGAACCAGCATAACTGTTGCACACGCGTAATCCTGAATCCTTTCAGAACACAATTTCTGGTACGTTGATCATGGGAATCCGTGAAACTCTTGCAAACTTTGAAAACGAATGTGCGCGGCGCTATCGCGAGAGCCACATTTTGAAAAGGAGCCGCCCTCAATCCGTGAAGCTCTTGCAAGGTTTGAAGACGTATGTGCGCGGCGCTAACGCGAATGCCACATCTTGAAAGCCACCCGCCCTGAATCCGTGAAGCTCTTGCAAATTTTGAAAGCCAATGTGCGCGGCGCTAATGCGAGAACCACATTTTGAAAACCACCCGCCCTCAATCCGTGAAACCCTTGCACATTTTAACACGAATGTGCGCGGCGCGACGGCGAGAGCCACATTTTGAAAACCACACGCCCACACGCCCTCAATCCGTGAAGCCCTTGCAAACATTTAAAACGAATGTGCGCAGCGCTAAAACAAGAACCACATTTTGAAAACGACCCGCCCTCCATCTGTGAAACTGTTGCCACTTGTTCAAGCTGCAGAGTCGAAGTCTCAGGCGAAACGCCCGGCCCGCCCTAAAAACTGGCCTCGGGGTGCGACAGGGAGGAGTTAGCTATAAAGAGAAGAAATGGAGGAGGAGATGGAGATGGAGGAGGAGGAGGAGAAGGAGGAGGAGGAGTAGGAGGAGGAGGAGTAGGAGGAGGAGGAGTAGGAGGAGGAGTAGGAGTAGGAGTAGGAGGAGGAGGAGGAGAAGAAAGAGGAGGAGGAGGAGGAGGAGGAGGAGGACGGGTTGCCCAAGCCCTTCGGAGAAACCCTCCACCCCCTCCCTGGTCCCAGGGGCTTTGTGGACGCCGCCGCAGAAGGTTTCCCGGGACTCCAGGCCTCCTGGGCGTCACTGCCAGGCCCAGCCAACGAGCCCAAAGCGGCCATGATGGCGCCCACTCAGCCCCACGAGAGTCCCAGGTGGTCCCCCCACACACCCACCAGACGCCCGACGACGGCCCAAAGAACACCCCTAAGAGGCCCCCCAAATGCAACAGAAACTTAGAACTTCGATCGTTATATTTCATACTTTTCACATGCTCGGTTCTTCGGCTTTCTGGGCGTCCGAGGCCGCCAGAGAGGCATCGCAGATCGCTCCAAGACTGGCCAAACAGGCGTCAAGAGGGCCCAGGAGAGCCCCCATACAACCCAGCAGGCTCCAAGATGGCCCCAAGAAAACCCCAAGAAAGCCCAAGATAGCCCCAGGACGCCCCCCCCAAAACACTCCAAGTCGGGCCCTGGCCGTGGAGGGGAACCGCGTGGGGCAGCATGATGGCCCCAAGAAGCCCCCAGAGGCCTCCAAAAGACGTTCAGGAGGCCTCCAGACGCCCCCAGCAAGCCCCAAGGAGCCTTCGATGGGGCCCCCAAGCACCCCCTCACGGAAGCTCCCCCCGCACAAGATGAGGGCGGTCCCGCAAAAGATGAGGAACGGGAAGGGTTCGCAGAGAATGGCGAGAACGAGGAATAAAAAAAAGAAGGAGGAAGAAAGGGCGAAGGAAGACAATACAGATAACGACAGCGCGAACATGTAGACAAGGACATAGTATATTGCTCCCTCTTTCTCTCTTTCTCTCTCTATCTCTCTCCCGCTTTCTATCTCCCATTTCGCCTGTGCGAAACTTGAGGAACCAAGATGCATGGCGCGAAGTGCCAATGCAGTCTTGTATGCGTGCTTATATAATCGATGAGTTCACATTTTTCTACGAGTATGCTATCGGGCTGACGGCAACGCAAGCTAACGATCGGTGCCGTTCCACTCACAGTCGTCAGAGAGCTGCGCGCGGAGGCTTGCAGTGCAGCGTGGGGCGATACGAACCACCCCTACACCGTATATAAATGCAACTGGGGAGGGAGGGAAGGCGGGGGAGGAGAAGAGGCAGGAGGGAAGTATACATGCGATCGTGGGGTTCTCTTGGGCCGTCTTGGACGGCCGTCTTGGACGCTGTTCTAACCCCCCAAAGCGAACATGCAACAAACCACATTTTCCTTTTGGGAGGGGGTAATTTTGGCCTCCTGGGGCCCTCTCGGGGAGCATCTTCGAGTCTTTTGGGAGCGTTTTCGGGGACTGGTCGTTTTTGTATTCCCTCCACAACTGTCTTGGGCCGCCAAAGGGAAGCCTGGGAGGCCCCGGAAGGGGTGTATTTCTTCGTGATATATATATATATATATATATATATATATATATAGATGTATGTATGTATGTATGTATGTATGTATGTATGTATGTATGTATGTATGTATGTATGTATGTATGTATGTATGTGTATATATATGTATGTATGTATGTATGTATGTATGTATGTATGTATATATATATATATATATATATATATGTACAGATATGTGTACAAATATTGTTGTTTGTATCTTTTCAATCCGCGGTCCCATCCGATCCCTTCCGTGGGGGTAATTTTGCGGCCCCGATTCGTTTGTGCGGGTCCCTGGATCAAAAACGGGCCCCGCGGGCAGAAAATTGAAGAAATACGCCAGGATTGAAAAAAAACAGGTCGTCGGAAACATGGGAGTGTCGTTTTCTCTGACGGTAGAAGTCCGGGTCCCCTGGTCCTTGTCGTCTGGAACACCGTCCGCGTCCAAATCGTTGCCAGCCTTGCCGTGCTGCGGCTCGCCGGTCGCGCCCTGCTCGCAACCCTTGCCCCTCATGCGGCAGCACCACTCCTCGGGCGCGGCGGGGCCCCTTGCTTGCATTACCCGTGTGGTACGCTACTACCGCGTCGCGTTCGGCGATCGGGGGACCCCAGAGGGCTCGCACCGAGTGTCACTCCGGCGAAAAGTCACTTTTTCGTGTAGTCGAGGGATGCGGCCAGGAACTTTTGGTCAGCGTGTCGTGCCGCCGGTTCGGGTCCACCGCTGTTCGGCGTGAGACGCTAATCACATCCCCCAATCCCCAAACATCCACGTCCAGAACCGTTCCGAGCCTCCCGCCACGCGAAGCGGAATGACACGCTTCCCGCTTTCAGATCGTAGCGTGACGCGGGGGCCGCCACCGCGACACGATATGCCAAAGTTCCTGGCCGTAAGGGTGTTAAGAGTGGATGCTACAGTGAACATTTTTTTTTTTTTTTTTTTTTTTTTTTTTTTTTTTTTATTATTATTATTATTAGCATTTTACCGGATGCTGCAGTGAACAATATCTTGCCTGACCTTGATTTCAAGTGAAGCGAAGCGAAGCGAACGCCAGAGTCGTGCGCGCTCCACTCGGAGCCCGCCCGTGCCCATTGGGGCATGGCGTGGAGTCCGTGGCCTCCAACGTGTGATACGTAGGCGGGCTCACGTGATAACCACCACTCCGTGTGCCCGGCCGCCGACGGCCACCGCAAGTCGTTTGCACTGTTGGGTTGATGTTGTTGTGCTTGGGTCGCTGCCGCCAAGACGGCACAGGAGGCCTTTAAGACGCCCAAGATGGTCTCCAAGACGGCCCTGGAGCATTCCAAGAGGGCCCCAAGTCGGCCCATAGAGGCCCCCAAACGGCTTCCGACGGCGTCAGACGGACCAGGAGCCCACCAAGACGGCCGATCATGGCCCTAAGATGGCCCAAGACGGCCAAAGAGGCCTCCAAGAGGGTGTCCAGGAAGGCCCGAAAACGCCAAAATCATTGATTTCCCATGGGTTTTTGAAGGATTGTGGCATTTGTTTTTTCTTCTGCCTTCCGACGGCCCGAGACGGCCCAAGTGCCCCCAAAGATCGCCCAAGAGGCCCAACACACGGCCCCAAGAGGCCCCCAAGACGGCCCAAGAGGTCTCCAAGACGCTCAAGACGGTCCAAGAGCCCTCCAAGACGTCCTCCAAGAAGGCCAGAAAAGGGTTAAAATGGCCTCCAGACGGCCAAGATGACCTTCAAGATGCCCACGTGTTCCCCGAGGGCTTTCCAAACCGATTCGGGGAACACATGGTCCGATGGCTTGGCAGGTCTGGCCTCAACGTTCGGCCACATAGGCGCTCCCACAAAGGCAGGGGGCGGCGGTGATTCACCGTAGGCGTCTTCGATCCGCCGCCCCCTCTTGCTTCAGCAAAGGGGTGCCCGGCGTGCCAAACCCTATCGGTTTTGGTTTTGGTTCTTTTTCCAAAAGAACTCTCCCAATGGGTTTCGGCCCGTCCCGCCGGGGCCCCGGGTTTTTTTTCCACGGACCTCACTTCCCCAATTTTCTGCCCAAGACAGCTCCAAGATGGCCTCCAAGATGGCCAAGATGGCCCAAGATGGTCCAAGATGGCCTCCAAGTCCGCCGAAGATGGTCCAAGGCGGCCTCCAAGACGGCCCAAGAGAGTCCAAGAGGGCCCCAGACGGGACAAGAGGCCCCCCAGAGGCCTCCCAGACGGCCCAAGAGGCCTCCAAGAGGTCCACCAGGAGGGCCAGAAGAGGCCAAAATTATTGACTTTCTTTTTGGTTTTTGAAAGATTTCGGAATTTGCTTCTTCTCGGCATTCCGACGGCTCCAGACGGCCCAAGAGGCCCCCAAGATCGCCCAAGAGGCCCCCAAGAGAGCCCCATGACGGCCCAAGTGGCCTCCAAGATGGCCCCAAGAGGGCCCCAAGACGGCCCAAGAGGCCTCCAACACGCCCAAAATGGCCTCCAAGCACCCAAGATGGCCTCCAAGACGGCCCCGAAGCGCCCCAAGAGGGTCCCACGTTGGCCCAGAAAGGCCCCCCAGACGGCTCCCGACGGCGTCAGACGTGCCAGGAACCCACCAAGATGGCCGAAGTTGGCTCGAAGCTGGCCCAAAAGGGCCCAAGAGGCCCCCAAGAGGGCCTCCAGGAAGGCCAGAAGAGGCCAACAACATTGATTTTCCTTAGGTTTTTGACGGATTTTGACATTTCCTTTTTTTCGGCCTTCCGACGGCCCGAGACGGCCCAAGAGCCCCCAGAGATCGCCGAAAGATCGCCCAAGAGGCCTCCAAGACGGCCACGATGACCTTCAAGATGCCCACGTGTTCCCCGAAGGCTTTCCAAACCGATTCGGGGAACACATGGTCCGATGGCTTGGCAGGTCTGGCCTCAACGTTCGGCCACATAGGCGCTCCCACAAAGGCAGGGGGCGGCGGTGATTCGCCGTAGGCGTCTTCGATCCGCCGCCCCCTCTTGCTTCAGCAAAGGGGTGCCCAGCGTGCCAAACCCTATCGGTTTTGGTTTTGGTTCTTTTTCCAAAAGAACTCCCCCTGGCGCTTCGGCCAGTCCCGCCGGGGTCCCGGGAGGACCATCCAGGACCGCAAGGTCCAGAACAAATCCTCCAAGACGGCTCAAGATGGCGTCCAAGATGGCTCAAGATGGTCCAAGATGGCCTCCAAATCCGCCCAAGATGGTCCAAGATGGCCTCCAAGACGGCCCAAGAGAGTCCAAGACGTCCCAAGAGGACCCCCAGAGGCCTCCAAGACGGCCCAAGAGGCCTCCAAGAGGTCCTCCAGGGGGGCCCTAAGAGCAAGAGGGCCCAAAGACGGCCCCAAGAGGCCCCCAAGACGGCACAGGAGGCCTTTAAGACGCCCAAGATGGCCTCCAAGACGGCCCTGGAGCATTCCAAGAAGGCCCCAAGTCGGCCCATAGAGGCCCCTCCAAACGGCTTCCGACAGCGTCAGACGGACCAGGAGCCCACCAAGACGGCCGAACATGGCCCTAAGATGGCCCAAGAGGCCTCCAAGAGGGCCTCCAGGAAGGCCCGAAAAGGCCAACATCATTGATTTGCCATGGGTTTTTGAAGGATTGTGGCATTTGCTTTTTTCTGCCTTCCGACGGCCCGAGACGGCCCAAGTGCCCACAAAGATCGCCCAAGAGGCCCAAGACACGGCCCCAAGAGGCCCCCAAGACGGCCCAAGAGGTCTCCAAGACAATCAAGATAGCCTCCAAGACGGCCCAAGAGCCCTCCAAGACGTCCTCCAAGAAGGCCCGAAAGGGTCAGAATGGCCTCCAGACGGCCAAGATGACCTTCAAGATGCCCACGTGTTCCCCGAAGGCTTTCCAAACCGATTCGGGGAACACATGGTCCGATAGCTTGGCAGGCCTCTGGCCACAACCTTCGGCCAAATAGGCGCTTCCAAAAAGGCAGGGGGCGGCGGTGATTCGCCGTAGGCGTCTTTGATCCGCCGCCCCATGCTTGTCACCCGGCGTGCTAGACCCTTTCGGATTTGGCTTTGGCTCTTTTCCGACGGAACTCTCCCTAGGGCTCGGGCCTGGCCCGCCGGCCACCCGCAAGGCTCTTCCAGAGGTTCCTGCTCCAGATGGCTCCCAGATGGCCCCAGATGGCATCCAAAATGGCCAAGATGGCCTGCAAGTTCGCCCAGTATGGTCCTATATGGCCTCCAAGACGGGCCAAGAGCGTCCAAGATGCCTCCAAGTTCGCCCAAGAAACCTCCAAGACGGCCCAAGACGGCTGCAAGAGGCCTCGAAGACGGCCCAAGAGGCTTCCAAGAGGTTCTCCAGGAGTGCTTGAAGAGGTTCAAATCATTGATTTTTCTTAGGTTTTTGGAGGATTTTGGCTTTCGTTTTTTTTCGGCCTTCCGACGGCCCAAGACGGCCATCAAGATCGCCCCAAGAGCGCCCAAGAGGCCCTCCAAGACGGCCCCGGGACGGCCCAACTGGCCCCCAAGACTGCTCCAAGAGGCCCAAGATGGCCTCTAAATCGCCCGAGTATGCCTCCAAGACGGCCCTGGAGCACCCCAAGAGGGCCGCAAGTCGGCCCCAAGACGGCTTCCGACGGCGTCAGACAGGCCAGGAGCCCACCAAGACTGCCCAAGATGGCCTTAAGATGGCCCATGACGGCCCAAGAGGCCTCCAAGAGGGCCTCCATGAAGGCCCGAAGAGGCCAAAATCATTGATGATCCATAGGCTTTTGACAGATTTTGGCATGTGCTTCACTTCGGCCTACCGACGGCCCGAGACGTCCCAAGAGCCCTCGAAGATCGCCCCAAGATCGCCAGGGAAGCCTCCAAGATTGCCCCGAGGGCCCCAAGACGGCCCAAGATGGCCCTGGAGCGGCCCCAACGGCCCTAGAGCATCCCAAGAGGGCCAAAGTCGGCCCAGAGAGGCCCCCAAGACGGCTTCCGACGGCGTCAGACGGGCCAGGAGTGCTCGAAGACGGCCCAAGAGGCCCCCGAGAAGCACCCAAAGGCCCCCAAGAGGCCCAAAAAAAACCCCATGATGCCTCCAAGAGGCTCCCAGGAAGATCCCAGGAGGCCCAGGAGTGCCCCCAGAGGCTCCCAAGATGCCCCCTCCTCCTCCTCCTCCTCCTCCTCCTCCTCCTCCTCCTGATCTTCACCGCCATCCTCCCCCAAATGTTCCCCGAAGGATTTCCACAACGGCTGGGGGAACATATGGTCCAATAGTTTGGCAGAGCTTTTGCCACAACGCTCGGCCACATGGGCGATTCCAAAAGGCAAGGACGGTGATTCGCCGTAAGCGTCTTCGCTCCGCCGCCCCCGGTTGATTTATGACAGGGGTGCCTGGCGTGCTAGACTCCTTAACACTTTTTGGCTCTTTTTAGGACTCCCCCCTGGGGGGCTTCGGCTCATTGCGCAGGCCACCGGGAAAGCTCCCAAACTCCATCTCTCATGGCCCAAATCGCCCTGGTGAGCCAACATGGCCTCCAAGATACCCCCCCAACGGCCAAGATGGCTCCAAGAGAGCCCCGAATGGCTCCAGGATGCACACAAGACGGCTCAAGATACACCCA